ATTTAAATACCTACTTCCCTAGATCAGTAGATCTCAGCTTTTCTAATGCTGAGACTCTTTAATACCGTTCTTGTTGTGGTAACCTTGAACCATAAAATTATTTTCATTGCTACTTCATAACTGTAATTTTGCTACAGTTATGAATCATAATGTAAACGCTTGTGTTTTCTAATGGTCTCAAGTTACCCCTACGACAAGTTGATAACCACTGAGCTAGATGGACAAATACTCAGCTTCTTACAATGTCACAAGGCAGAAGACAATGAATGTATTAGAAACAGTTTTGGTCTCAAGAGTCACAAGGTCACCTGTGCAAAGTAGGCAGTGGTGGAGTCTGCTGAACTTATGAAAGCACTCAAAGAACAGGGCCAAAGGACAACACGATGAAATCCTCTGTCCCATCTACTTTGCCTTGGTAACTCCTACCTGACTGTATCATATTGCAGTAGTAATACTTCAGAAGCTAAGCCATTTATTCATACTTCAGAGGAAAGGGAGAAGATCAGAGAGTAAATACAAGGTTAATGAAGTCAAGCTTCACTTCTAGAGAAGGTATTTCTGGGTCAAAGTAGAGCTGTGCTAACTTTACAGCCAAGCATATAAAGGAGCAGTCAGCCATGCAACAAGTCCTGACACCAGGTCCGCAGCTAGCTCTGACTCACGTCTTACATCTTCCCCTCTTCTTCCTCCTGACTTGTGCTGATCAGAAAATAAAAATTAAACAGTCACAGCATGCAGGCTCCAGACACCAACCAATGGCCTGTAGCAATAGGACAAAGCCATGAATTATCTCTATCAATTCCATTGTATCTCCTTTTCCTTGCCCATGCCGCTCAACTTCTCATGCTCCCCAAACCCAGGCTCATGTGTGAAGTCTCTGAAATAAAACATCCACCCTTATGTTTTCGTGCCTCAGACATCATTGTTTGCAGTTCCTAAAGACCCCAGACTACGGAATCCATGCTGTGCTGATGGGACTCTAGGTGCCTGTATCCTATCTAAGAAATGGAAATATATATAGTACTTGGTGATTCTGATTTTATGACAGTTAAAATACACTAAAGTAAGACTTGGTCTACAGTAAACAATCTTAGCTGGAAATACTATTGCAACTGTTAAATCAAGTCTGATTTTTGTAAGCGCCAGTCTATCCCTGCTTCCTGGTCAGTCCTGCCTCCTCCTCCTCCTGGTCCCTGTACTCATGTAAGCTCTGCTAACCTCATGCCCTGTGCTGGACCTTTGGCTCAGACCAGCTTCTGCACAGCAGTGTATCCTGACCTCCTTTCTGTCCACCGTTAGGAAGCTCTCTGTGTGGGTTAGGGTTCTGCTATCATTTCTGCACTGTCTGTCCACACATCTTTCTGCATCTCTCCCATTTACAGGACACTAGAATTGTCTGTTCATGGTCTGGATTCTCCCCAGGGTGGCATAGAATTTGAAGTTTGTGTCTGTCATTACTCTTCTTTGTGCTTAGCACAGGACCTGATAAAGAAGTTATGATCAGCAAATATCTAATGATAGTTGAGTGACTGTATGAACTGCTTTCTCGGTTTTTTAAATATAAGGATTCTGACCTTGCCAAATCCAAGACTTGCTCCAGAAATTACTTTGGATTCTGCCCCCTATATCATCTACCTCCTACCTCCCATTTCCCACATATGTGACAGTATTCAGCTGTCCATTAACATAGACCCTGGTCTTCCACATCAGGACTGTGATGTCTCCTCACAGGAGATTTTTATTTTCTGTGGTGTGCTTCTACAGCCCTGTGGGGAATGACCAGGAAATTGTTGTAATTTGTTGTATGGATGACAAGAGACTATCTCATAACTCCAGGAAAGATGTCATGTTTCCAAAACAGCTCAGGTTACACATTCAAAGTAAAGACATTTTTACAATCACCACACGTTTCTAACCACAAACAACTGTTCTACAGGATTTAGTCTAACAGAATAGGGCCTCAGAAAAAGGGCTTAGTGGCCATAAAACAGACACTGGAGGGAGCCTAAAGGTAGGCAGTAACCACTTAACTGGGCCTCCCTCTTGAAAAAAAAGAAGCAGGTGATCTTTGCTGGGGGGCCTTTCTTACAGAGCTAAGGGTGGGCTATGACGTAGGACTGCCCTTGGGAATGCTTTAAAATTTTCACCATGGCAACTTTTGGAAACTCCTTTGATCTTCACTTGGCCAATCGAGAGGGGGCAATTTGAGGTTAGCTGAAGTATGCCCCAACACTCCAAGACTCCAAGGTACATAAAGAAATCTACTGCCTGAGATAAGTTTTCTCCCCCTCTGAGAGTCACTAACAACCATGTGGTTTGCAATGGCAACTTCCAGGAAGCAGGAAGCAGAGAGGCCAGCCAGTGTATAGCACCGGTCCTACCGCAGCAGCCAACAAAGCTGAAGAGATTTCTTTACACAGACTAAGCAATACTATGGTTCTAAGACTTAAAAACACTAGGGATAAAAAAATATTAGGTATGAAATTTGAACCTGGAGACAGGTGTGGTGGTACATGCCTGTAATCCTTGCACTCAGAGAGGTAGAAGCAGGCGGATCTCCGTCAGTTCAAGGCCAGCCTGGTCTACAAAGCAGGTCCAGGACAACTAAGGCTACATAGAGAAACCCCGTCTCAACAAAACAAAACACCCAAATACAACAAAATACGAACCTAGATAAATTAAGACAGAACAAACCAACCAAAGTAACAAATAAAATACCAAATCCTCAAGCCTGTTCTTCATTTGTGACTTTACAATTCTAATCATGAAACCAGGCAGTTGAAATTAAATTTGGATACTAGAAACTAACACATATGTAACAGTGACCTTTCATTTTTTTCCCCAGAAACATGGCTCTCAATGACTTTCACATCTTCTTCCAACCTTTTGAACAGAGGTTAAAAAGCTAAAAAGGTTAAAAAGTTAAAAAGTCATTATCATTTATGAAGGAATAAGGGACAAGAAAAAAAATTCTCTTTGGTATGTAAGAGCCATTCAAATATTATGCATTTATGATGGAGAGGTGTTTAAAACTAAACAAAACCAGAAGTAAGTTACTGCCTGCTTCAAAGCATAGTACTTAAGTTCCCCTTCTGCATTTTAATATTGGTCCTCAGAAATGAGAAAAGGCTGTTGTGTTCTTTCACCCTGGGGATCTCTAAACCAGTGTTCTTTCTTAATAAACTACAAGCTGCTCTGCTCTGGGTTTTGCTACAACTCATGTGACACATGGATAGTGTTATTATGAGTCTGACAAAATGGTAACATGGAGACCCAGGACCTCACACTACAAGCCCAGATTTGTTGCCCTGGAATTTTAACTTGAAAAAAGAAAATTTCCATTAATTCCCCAGAAACAGCTGAACTGAGGTCTGGGTTGCTGAGCGTGCCTTTCCAAGTTGTCTGCCAGACAGCATCACTCTTTGGACCTGCTTAGAAGAATACAAGAAACAGTGGATTACTTCTCTGCAATGAAGGAGCAATGCCCCCTGAACGTCACGTCACTTCCAGACTACTGACGTGGGACCTATCACCACCTGCAGAGAGACTATAGTAACTGCTCTTTTGCATCTGGACTTGAAGCTGTGGCTATGTCTGAGGCAGATTTGTAGTCTGTGCTCAGTAAAGAACCTGTTGGAGGATAAATTCATGCTTGCAAAATGAACGAGTGATCATAAGAGCCAAACTGTTTGCTTATGGGCAGAGCAATGGAATTAGCCTGATCAGAGGGGTCCTAGAAAACCGGGTATAAACGTTCCAGGCAGAGAAGAGATGGGGTAAGGGAAGGATATCTTCTCTGGCAAAGAAGAGTTGGGAAACAAATGCTCTCCACCAAAAACTGAGAATTCTGTTGGTGAGCCCTTGCCAGCCCTGCTATAGCATATGTATAGACTCTGAGGTGGCAAATATACTTCAGCCCGACTCCATGCCCTTTAGCAAAGAGATTCTAGACATGATATCCTACTTGAAGGTGGCAGAGAGCTCTGGCAATTGGTACTGTGTGTCAACTTCGCTATGCTATGAGGCTTGGTTGTTACTCGAAGATTTTTGTCTTGAATATTTTTCTTTTTGAAAGCAGATTACTCTCCACGTTGTACTGGACCTCATCCAATCAGTCGAAGGCTCTAAGAATATACACGGAGGTATCCCAAGGAGCCCTGCCTCAAAAATGCAGCGTAGACAGGTTGGAGAGAACAACAGAGGACCAAAGCTTAGTTTCCAGAACCCACATAGCTGCTGACGACCTTAACTAAATCCAGGTCATGAGGACCTGGTCTCCTTTCCTGGCCCCCACTGTCGCCAGGCATATACACGGCACACTTACATATATGCATGTAAGACATATACATAAGGTATATACATACTAAATCAATAAACTTTCAGAGGATTTTAAAAATGTGTCATTAAAAATGTCTGATGTTCCCAATCTGTTATAGCGTCCTACAGATTTCAGACTTGTAAGCTCAACCAAGTGTGTTAAATTTCTCCCTCCCTCTCTGTATACTATTGACCCACAGAGACATTAAGAAACCCATGTTCTCCAAATACATGAGGTTTTGGGGACCTCCTGGCAGGGTGTATAGCAATCTCAGTCATGTTGCTCGCTATCCCGGAAAAGGGCCCCACTGTGCACACAGGATGTGACGCAAAGAAAGGTTGAGCTGAGAAAACAGCCCAGGACTAGAGCTATTGTTTGCCTGGGAACTGTTTTCAGTAACAGCCGAGCTCACCTCAGGGTCCCTAAACATTGGTTTAGTCCTTGGGAGATTCAAAACCATCCTTATTGTTCTCTCTATGGGTGGCACTCCTGAAAGCAACCTCCAGCATCCACCTCCTCCCCCACATTCCCTGCAGATGCCTCTGCCTTCTGTTGCTGTCTGCTCACTCACGCAGACCATGGTTCCTATGAGGGATGAAGCGTGTCCAACATCTGGAGCAATGACCCAGCCTGGAACACATAGAAAGAACTCAGAAAGGGATGCCAGCCCCACTGAACCCACCGATTTCCTCCCCCAAGGAGGAGTTCAGGATGGCACCGGCAGACGTGACTACTGCGCAGGTGCGCAGGCCGCGTGGGTGCAGCTGGCTCAGAGGCACCCCGGGTACCAGAGGCCGCCAGCCCAGCGCCGAGAATGGTGCTTCCTTGCCGTCCAGCGTGCGCACACGGACGCGCCTTCGCAGCTCACACAGCAGCTCTGGTCCAGAGCGCCGAACCTCGCGCTGTCTGCGGAAGCGTACACCGTGTTTGTTGAAGGACATGTAGTAGCGCATGGCCTTCTGCAGGCGCGGGTTCAGCATCTTAGAGGACACGGCGCCCTTCCAGAGCCGGTATAGGAAAGCTCTGGACATGGAGGCAGGCAGCATGTCGCTGTCATAGGCCTCCTCAAGCATTCTGCTTCGCCTTGCGTGGCGTGGCTTCTCCCGCTTGTGCTGGGCGGTTGCTGCCCGCAGCGATGTCTCCCCAGGAGACAGCCCCAGTGTGCCCTGTGAGTGTTGGTGCCACCCTGGTTGACCTGCAACAAAAAAGTAGCCATCTTCCTCGGGGTTGAAAGCACTTTGTGATTTCCTCCCGACCTGGGATGAAAAAATCTCTTCTCCATTGTCAAAGCCATCTTGGGCTTGGTCCCATTTCTGTGGATCCCCAGGCCCGCTGGGGAAGGAGCTGGCAGGGTGGCCGCCCAGCAGCAGTTTTCTCGCCTCCAACGTTCTGGGCAAGGAGGGCTCCTGCAAAGCACCCATGATGGCCCGCTGCTTGCCCTGCACAGGCAGGAGCGCACGGCTCTCCAGGAAGGAAAAGGAGCTGGGTATAGGTGCAGCAGGATTGCTGTTGGTGAAGTAGATGAAAATCGCCAAAAAGAGGAGTCCCCAAACAAAAATTCCAAAGAGCATTCGTTGTCGCCATTGTTTCAAGGGCGGTTTCATCGCAGACCCCTGGGGACAGCACTGCACCTTGGGTTCTCAAGCACTGTGAGGTGGGCAGAACCTGAAAAAGACAGGAGCCCCAGTTAGCATGGAGAATCTGCGCAGATACTGCTGGGGGTGCATTTAATGATAAGTCGACTGAAATGGTTATCGGAAAAACAGAAAAGTCAGCACTACTGAATTCTCTTCTCCCCTACCTTCACTATTGACTTCTGAAACACAAAAGGGTCACATCATATCTGCAGAGTCTTGAGAGAGAAAAATCTTTCCCAAGGGACTGTGGACATGTCTGCTATCCTAGCCTGAGGCACTCTGGTAGGGATCTACCATTTGTACCTTACCTCTGCATCTAGCAGAATTCTAGTTAGGTGAAGCAAAGTTGTAGAATAAAGCACAATTTGCCTGCTCTTATTTGCTAGCAGTCCATCAAATTCTCAGCTTATATATTTTATAGACATCAATTGTAGGCATTTTTTTTGTATTTTTAATTTATTATTTATTATTAATTTTTACAATTTTTTTTTATTTTTTTTTTATTTTTTATTTTTTCTTTTTAGTTACATTTTGTTAACTCTGTGTCCCAGCTGTATCCCGCTCCCTCATTCCCTCCCCAACCCCACACTCCCTCCCTGGTCTCCTCCCTGCCCCTTTCCAAGTCCCCTGATAGGGGAGGACCTCCTCCCCTTTCATCTGTCCCTGTTTTATCAGGTATCTTCAGGGCTGGCTGCAAAGTCCTCCTCTGTGGCCTAACAGACTGCTCCTCCCCTGGGGGGAGGTGTCAAACAGCCTGCCCTTGAGATCCTGTTAGAAATAGTCCGTGTCCCCCTTACTTTGGAAAACTACTTGATTACTGAGCTACCACAGGCCACATCCGAGCAGAAGTTCTAGGTTATATCCATAGATGGTCCTTGGTTGAGTTTCAGTCTCAGAAAAGACCCTGTGCCCAGATATATTTGGTCCTTGTAGAGCTCCTATCCTTTCCATATCATACTAACTTCCCTTCTTTCATATGATTCCCTGCACTCTGCCGAGGGTTTGGTTATGAGTCTTAGTGTCTGCTTTGAAACACTGCTAGGTAGAGTCTTTCAGATGCCTTTTGTGGTAGACTCCTGTCATAAGTTCAAGGCACATCCCATTTGTCTTTCTAAATGAGGATTAATCACCTTCGCCTGTGTCCACTTTCTTGATTATCTTCTTTAGGTGTGTAGATTTCATTATGTTTATCATGTCTTGTAGGTCTATATAAGCGAGTATATACCAAGTTTGTCTTTCTCCTTCTGGGATACTTCACTCAGAATGATCTTTTCTAGATCCCACCACTTGCCTGCAAATTTCATGATTTCCTCCTTTTTGATTGCTGAGTAGTATTCCATTGTGTAAAAATACCACAATTTCTGTATCCATTCCTCCGTTGATGGACATCTGGGTTGTTTCCAAGTTCTGGCTATTACAAATAAAGCTGCTATGAACATGGTTGAACAAATGTCCTTGTTGTGTACTTGAGCAAATTTTGGGTATATACCTAGGAGTGGTATAGCTGGGTCTTGAGGTAGCACTACTCCTAGTTGTCTGAGAAAGCGCCAGATTGACTTCCAGAGTGGTTGAACCAGTTTACATTCCCACCAGCAATGGAGGAGGGTTCCCTTTTCTCCACAACCTCTCCAGCATGTGCTATCACTTGAGTTTTTCATCTTGGCCATTCTGATGGGTGTAAGGTGAAATCTCAGGGTCGTTTTGATTTGCATTTCCCTAATGGCTAATGAGGTTGAGCATTTCTTTAAGTGTTTCTCTGCCATTCGATGTTCCTCTTTCGAGAATTCTCTGTTTAGCTCTGTTCCCCATTTTTTAAGTGGATTACTTGGTTTGTTGCTTTTCTGCTTCTTTAGTTCTTTATATATACTTGATATTAGCCCTCTGTCAGATAAAGGGTTGGTGAAGATTCTTTCCCAATCTGTAGGCTGTCTATTTGTTTTGATGACAGTGTCTTTTGCTTTACAGAAGCTTTTCAGTTTCATGAGGTCCCATTTATTGATTGTTGCTCTTAGAGCCTGTGCTGTTGGTGTTCTGTTCAGGAAGTTGTCTCCTGTGCCAATGAGTTCTAGGCTGTTTCCCACTTTTTTTTCCAGCTGATTTAGAGTATCTGGTTTTATGTTGAGGTCCTTGATCCACTTGGACTTTAGTTTTGTGCAGGGTGATAAATATGGGTCTATTTTCATTTTTCTGCATGTAGACATCCAGTTGGTCCAGCACCATTTGTTGAAGATGCTGTCTTTTTTCCATTGAATGGATTTGGCTTCTTTGTCAAATATTGAGTATTCATAGGTGTGTGGGTTTATTTCTGGGTCTTCTATGCGATTCCATTGATCCTCCTTTCTGTTTCTATGCCAATACCATGCAGTTTTTATTACTGTTGCCTTGTAGTACAGCTTGAGATCGGGAATGGAGATACCTCCAGATGATCTGTTGTTGTACAGGATTGTTTTGGAGATTCTGGGTTTTTTGTTTCTCCATATGAAGCTGAGAATCTTTTTTTCAAGGTCTGTAAAGAATTGAGTTGGTATTTTGATGGGAATTGCATTGAATCTGTAAATTGCTTTTGGCAGGATGGCCATTTTCACAATGTTAATCCTACCAATCCATGAGCACGGGAGATCTTTCCATCTTCTGAGATCTTCTTCAATTTCTTTCTTCAAAGACTTGAAGTTTTTCTCAAACAGGTCTTTCACTTGCTTGGTTAGAGTCACACCAAGGTACTTTATGTTATTAGTGGCTATTGTGAAGGGTGTTGTTTCCCTAATTTCTTTCTCGGCCTTTTTGTCTTTGGTATACAAGAGGGCTTCTGATTTTTTTGAGTTGATTTTGTATCCTGCCACTTTGCTGAAGGTGTTTATCAGCTGAAGAAGTTCTCTGGTTGAATCTTTGGGTTCGCTCATGTATACTATCATATCATCTGCAAATAGTGACACTTTGACCTCTTCCTTTCCGATTTGTATCCCCTTGATCTCCTTTAGTTGTCTTATTGCTCTGGCTAGGACTTCAAGTACAATGTTAAAGAGATATGGAGAGAGTGGGCAGCCTTGTCTTGTCCCTGATTTCAGTGGGATTGCTTTAAGTTTCTCTCCATTGAGTTTGATGTTGGCTATAGGCTTGCTGTATATTGCCTTTACTATCTTTAGGTATGTGCCTTGTATCCCTGATCTCTCCAAGACTTTAAACATAAATGGGTGTTGGACTTTGTCAAATGCTTTTTCAGCATCTAAGGAGATGATCATGTGGTTTTTCTCCTTCATTTTGTTTATGTGGTGGATTACATTGATGGATTTCCGTATGTTGAACCACCCTTGCATTCCTGGGATGAAGCCTACTTGGTCATGGTGGATGATATCTTTGATGTGTTCTTGGATTCGGTTTGCAAGTATTTTATTGAGTATTTTTGCATCAATGTTCATAAGAGAGATAGGTCTGAAGTTCTCTTTTTTGGTTGGATCTTTGTGTGGTTTAGGTATCAAAGTGACTGTGGCTTCATAGAATGAGTTTGGTAGTGTTCCTTCTGTTTCTATTTTATGGAATAGTTTGAGGAGAATTGGTGTTAGTACTTCTTTGAAGGTCTTGTAGAATTCTGCGCTGAAGCCATCTGGTCCAGGGCTTTTTTTGGAGGGGAGACTGTTAATGACTGCTTCAATTTCCTTGGGAGATATAGGACTATTCAGTCTTTCTACCTGATCTTGACTTAATTTTGGTAGATGGAATCTGTCAAGAAAGTTATCCATTTCATTTAGATTTTCAAATTTTGTGCCATATAGGCTTTTGTAGTATGACCTAATAATCGTTTGGATTTCCTCAGTGTCTGTAGTTATGTCCCCATTTTCCTGTCTGATTTTGCTGATTTGTATGGTTTCTCTCTGCTTTTTAGTTAGTTTGGCTAAGGGTTTGTCTATCTTGTTGATTTTCTCAAAGAACCAGCTTTTTGTTTCATTGATTCTTTGGATAATTTTATTTGTTTCTAATTGATTGATTTCTGCCCTTAGTTTGATTATTTCCAGCCGTCTGCTCCTCTTGGGTGTATCTGCTTCTTTTTTTTCTAGGTTTTTCAGTTGGGCCATTAAGTTGTTTGTATGTGATGTTACGGATTTCTTCTTGTAGGCACTTAGTGCTATAAATTTTCCTCTGAGCACTGCTTTCAATGTGTCCCATAAATTTGGGTATGTTGTGCCTTCATTTTCATTGAATTCTAGAAAGTCTTTAATTTCTTTCTTTATTTCTTCCTTGACCCAGCTGTCATTGAGTAGTAAGTTGTTCAGTTTCCATGTGCGTGTCGGCTTTTTGTTGTTTCTGTTGTTGTTGATGTCCAGCTTTAGTCCATGGTGGTCAGATAGTATACAAGGGATTATTTCAATCCATTTGTATCTGTTGAGGCTTGCTTTGTGACCAACTATATGGTCTATTTTGGAGAAGGTTCCATGTGGTGCTGAAAAGAAGGTGTACTCTTTTGAGTTTGGGTGAAAAGATCTGTAGACATCTATTAGGTCCATTTGATTTAGGGATTCTGTGAGTGCTTTTATTTCCCTATTTGGTGTCTGTCTGGTTGATCTGTCCCTTGATGAGAGTGGGGTGTTGAAGTCTCCTACTATTAAGGTATTAGGATCAATGTATGATTTAAGCTTTAATATTGTTTCATTTACGAATGTAGGTGCTCTTGTATTTGGGGCATAGATATTCAAAATTGTGATGTCCTCTTGTTGGATTTTTCCTTTGATGAGAATATAGTGGCCCTCCTTATCTTTTTTGATTAACTTGGGTTGAAAGTCTATTTTATTAGATATTAGGATGGCTACTCCAGCTTGTTTTCTGGAACCATTTGCTTGAAAAACATTTTTCCAGCCCTTTACTCTGAGGTAGTGTTTATCTTTGTTGCATAGGTGTGTTTCTTGGATGCAACAGAATGTTGGGTCCTGTTTCCGTAACCATTCTGTTAGCCTGTGTCTTTTTATTGGTGAGTTGAGTCCATTAATATTGATAGATAATATTGACCAATGCATGTTAGTTCCTTTTGTAATGGAG